GGGGGAAAGGTAATAAGGGAGAGGAAAAAAATATGAGAAACTGAAAAAATGGAAATAAAGTTTGTAAATGGGGAGGAGAGGAGGGGGTGAAGGGAGGGCAGGGACAAGGGGAAAAATGAGAATCAAGACCTATTATGTAAAGGTACAGAATCCCAATGATGAATGTAATTGTATTGTATACCTAGATTGTACCAATAACCTCAATAAAAAGAAAAAAAACCCCAAAAACTCAGGACCTTCAACTTGCAGGGCAGGTGGAGGCACTACTGAGCTAAATCCCTGGCCCAAGATAGCATCTTGCTATGAAGTTCAGGCTGGCCTCAAACTCGTGATCCTCCAATCTCAGCCACAGCACTGGGATTACAAGCATGCACCATGCCTGGCTGTTTTTAGGATTTTAAAGCTAACGGTAAAAACTTGCCAAGCCTATAAAACTTGTGACTTGCTCTTTGCTCAGTAATACATGCCGTGGTTGACTCATGTTCTAGTTTTCTGAAACAACTTTATAATATTTATTCTGTCCAAAACCTAGACTAAATCTTTGTTCCAAGTTTATCATCCGTTTCATACAAGAACTCAAGTTAGGGCCGGGGATTTGGCTCAGTGGTTCTGGTGCCTCCCTTGCAAGTACAAGGGCCTGAGTTCAATCCCCAGTACAAAAAAAAAAAAAAAAAAAAAAAAAAAACCAAAAAACTCAAGTTAGAGTAAGAGTAATCTTTGTGGAAAGAGGCTTATTACCTTATTACCGAGGGATGTCTAAAGATAAAAGCATCAATTCTAGAAGACAATTATACCAAAAACTTTTATACACCAAATGCTGGCCAACTAATACATCAAGTTAAATTATTTTCCTGGCCTTCATCGTTGGAAGGATGGGGGAAGTTGATTAATCCCTAGACTTTATAACTAAACTGTACTTATTGCCTGTGTAGGCAGATGAACACACATAACCTGCACCAATCAAATCAAATGAGTTACGTTAGAAAACACTATAAACTCTTAAAGTTGAGATTATGTTGCATATATAAATGACCTCAATCTTAAACCCACATATTTCTAGACATAAGTCTGGGTGGGACTTTGAGCTCCAGTAGAGTCACCTGAAATTTCCAGTCTAGGCTAGAGATATAGCTCAGTGGTACAGCACTTACTGAGTATGCACAATGCCTGGATTCAACCCCCAGTACCGTTTTGTTTTGTTTTGTTTTGTTTTAGTACCGGGGATCAAATTCAGGCGCAGTGCCACTGAGTTAAAGCCCCAGCCCTGCCCAATACTGTAAAGAAAAAATTCCTATCATCCAATTCATCTTTCTTGATGTTATCTGTGATCATCAGGAGGCTGGGAAATTTCCGTCCCTTGTCATTAGAGCAGACCTCTGCTTCCTTGACACCTCACACTAAGTATAGTGTGACACGTTTGTTCATAGAACAGAATGTTGTAGCCACTTTATTGTACTTAGTTCCCACAGTGTCTTCTGAGTAGAAATGACTCAAAAGTTTCTGCTGATACTGGGCCACTCAAGCTTGAATAAACCTTTTAGAAAAATTCACTTGTTAGTTACATCACCTGGAGACACTGCACCTTTTAACCTACAAATAAATTTTCTTTATAGTGCTCTTACGGCTCAAAGTATGATTTACTCCCCTCCCCACAAGCAAAGCAGCTTTTCACGTGTTCCCTTAAGTATCAGAGCCTCCTTTCTGGAAGTCAGACTTGCTGGCCACTGCCTTTTCTGTTTAATACCAATATATTCAGGGGTAGGATGAGTTTGTAAGCCCAATTATCAACTGCATGTGTGAGAACAGCCTCCTAAAGCACTCTGGCTTCAAGAGAGACCACATGTCCACTCAGAACTGCTGTTGGGCCTGGCCGCCTTCCTCCACGAGAGCCAGTGCACCTCCAGGAGACACGTGCCGCAGTCTTCAGTAGCCCCGCACTGGACACTCTGGAACGAGCTGGATGTTGTGTGCATTGGGTAACTTGGGCAGGTCGGCTGACACTTGTAACTGTGTATTTATACAACCGAGCAGCGCACGGGCACCTGGAACTCGAAAACAATGAGCAAAGAGACAAGACTCAGACTCTCCTGGATACGGTATATAGAGCACCCTCTACTGAAGCAGTCTTTATTTGCATTTTGAGAGAACACATGAAAAATGCTGTGACCGGCTGACATGATGCTCAGTCCCTTTTTAAGTGACTTCCTGGGACAAGAAGACCTCAGGAAGCACGACGATGGAATGCAAAGACAGAAATTACCTATAATTCACCTTAGTGAGTAAACGCTGTGGCCTACCTGCAGCCATTCCCAAGAGACTTCACTCTCGGTAAATGCCAAGTAAACAAAATGCTAAGCTGCATACAAAAAAATGTGATTTTTGCCTATACTGGCCTCGTGTATAGAGGAGAAATTTTGGTCAATCATGACAAAGAAAAGGCAGATGGCTTTCTTGACTTAAAAGCACAGTTCTTTGTGTCAAAGAATGTTTTACTGGCAACACTAACTGTATGATAGACGTTAACTGGAACGGTAGTTTATGTTCCTCTCCCTCTCCCAAAAGAAGCATAACAGGAAACAGCTGTGAAACAGGCGGAGATCGTTTACCAGGTTATTTCAGTGCAGCCTATGGGAATGAGAATGAGGTGCTGTATTCCCAGGGGTCTGTATGTTACGTGATAGATATTTACAAGAGGGTTAGACAAAATAGTTACCAAAAAAGGCCTGAGAAAAATCTGGTTAAAATGTATAACGTTGTATTGCTACTGATGGGAAGAGTCATTTTTCTAGCTTTTAAAAATAATAAAAAGATTCTGTTAAAAATATATTTATCCAGAAAGATGTTGATTTGAACTCTAAAAAGCAACATGGAATTATCATTTTCCCTTTTGAATGAAGCGCCATTTAGCTCCATGTTCCCTTTCTAATTTCAAATCTACCCCTTTCTTCCATGTGAAACTAGAACATGCAGCCAGTTATTCCTAGGCTCCTGCACAGAAATCCCTCACTGGAGGAGGCGCTGGACACATGCTTTGCTTGGTTCTCTGCTGTTCCACTGTCATGGCCAGCTTACCCACTTCAAGAACAAGACGTGGGTTCCCCTAGCTGCACCTTCAGGGACAGGATTAGCTGCCTTAGATTTAGCTCTCAAAGAACTGCCTCTGCAAATTCAAATCGATCTCTCAATATGTGGAGTGAGGTGGTTTGAAACTATTGGTAATTTTTTAAGGCTAAGGCAACATCCGTGGTTATTTGTATATCTTAATTTGATGCAAATAGTTAACCACAATCTAAAATAGATCCTGTATATATTTCCTCTTTAACTTTAGCTGGGGTGGAAGGAATGGAATGAGGTGGAGGTGGAGGAGGAATAATGACAATGTTCTAGAAACATCTATATAAAGGTAAAAATAAAGAGTAGATCGGCACAACCCATTTCTTTGGTGAACAGTACAAGGTCTTAAATTCCTAAACCATTCTACAAAGGCTGCTGCTGCTGCTGCTCTCATATATAAAAGCACCCTGACTCTGCAATAACTTGTTTTATTATCACTCCTTGATAAAAATGTGTCTACAAACCTGTGGGGGTTGGGGTTTTTGTCTAAAGCTGGTAGTAAAAATGTGACCTGCAAGCCTATATAGCTAAAGGAAAGTGACGATGCTGTCTTCCCCTGAGCCTGGAGATGGGACCTGCCAATCCCCCTTCCCCACTCTCGGGAGCATCCTGGATGGGCCTTGGAGTCCCTGGTCTTGCACCTCTGCAGAAAGGGGGGCAGCTGCCATCTGCACCAAGGGTAGGCCCTCTGCGCCAGGACCTCAGTTGACATAGCACTCATGTGCAGCCCGGGGGCAGAAAGGTCTATTTCTCAGTGAGCGACAGCTGTAAGACTTGCTGGAGCTCAGCTTCCTCCTCCTGGAGCTGGAGTTCCCGCTCCTCCAGCTCTTTGGCAGAGAGCTGGATGGCCAACTGCAAGTCAGTATCAAAACGGCTTGTCTCACTCAGGGCACCCGGGCACAGGCCTTCAGTGCTGGTGAGGAGGCTTTCTTGGATTGCCCTGGTTGGAAAACAGGAAGAAAAGAGATAGTCAATACTGTCGGCATCATGGTGGTGGAGCAACTATACATATATATTTTCTTTATTTTTCTTTGAGACCGGGTCTCCCTATGTAGTTCAGGCTGGTCTGGAACTTACTATGTAGCCCAGGCTGGCCTTGAACTTGGAATGTTCCTCCTGCCTCAGCCTCCCGGATTACAGGCGTGCAACACCATGCCTGGCTCTAGCAACTGCATTTCTGAACTGTTTATCAAATGCATACTATGCCATGCACTTTATATGCACAATACCATTTTCTTGGGGGCGTATCAGTGCTGCATATAGGTGAAAAACTCAAGGTTCAAAGATCTACTCAGTGATGAGGCTGCAAGTTGAAAAATAAACTTCCCAGGTTCCTCATCAGTTGTTCACCTATGTGCAGCACCTCTATCACCCCTTTCTGGATACTCACTATCAAGAGGTTAGAGCTAGTTTAACAAGTAACTGCCACAGGAGGAAGCAGGATAGCTAACCACTTAAGTCTGTCCTCCTAGTGTGCCATATATCTGCTCATTTATTAAGTGGCTGTTTCAACCTCAGTTTGGCAGTTACATCATCCAGAATCATGTCAAGTCACCTCTCATACTGGGCTTCATAGCTGTGCATCGGGCTGATCCCGCCATTCGAAGCCGGTCCTGAAAGTTCCTAGTGAAAACAAACGTGATGGACATGAACAGAAGAATCTGTTGCCACACTGATAAGGAAATGAAATCAAGAAGAACAAAATTAAAAATATTCACATGCTTATTATTGACAGTGTTGTGAAAAACACTAATAGGATCTAAGCTTTGTCTAATGTTAAAAAGTTTAAAGTTAAGATTAAATACATTTAGGGCTGGGGGTTTAACTTAGTGGTGCCACTGCCTGCCTCGCAAGCCCAAGGTCCTGAGTTCGATCCCTGGTACCAAAAAAAAAAAAAAAAAGATTAAATAAATTCAATGCATACAAAGTAAAAAAATTTAAGAACAGGGATTTAGCTCAGTGGTTCCAGCACCTGCCTCACCAAGTAAAAAAAAAGTTAAAAATAAAATTTTGAACACAAACATAAAATCATCATTAAAAAAAAAAAAAACCCAAAACACTAATTGGGGTTTAGGAGTTAGGTGTGGTGGTAAACATCTGTAATCCCAGCATTTGGGAGATTGAGACAGGAGGATCGTCACAAGTCTGAGGCCAGCCTGGGCTACATAGTGGATTCAAAGCCAGCCTGAACTACATATTGAGACCCTTTCACAACAACAACAAACACATACCAATAAACAGGGACTTAGGTTACCATGAAAATAACCCCCAAATTTCAGGTCATATTTGGTGTAGGGCAGAGATGGCAAACCTTTTAGAGGATCCAGTGATAACAAACAGCCTGCCGTGGCTTGTATGCTGTAGGTTCGCCACCACTGGTCTAGGGTGTATCAGGTACTACCCTAACTCATGGTCAGCACCTTGTGGTGGGCCTTCACACAAAGCCAGTCTGTTGAAAACAGCTGACCTTGGGGAATACCTCAGTGACCAAAACGGGGAATTCTTTTACAGCAAGATTAGAAGAAATGAATTTGGACTACTCCCCTTGTCAAAACTTACGGTCCACAAGGTTTATGTAGATTTAGGGAAATAAGATAATCTCACTTACATTGGGAAAGGAAGAGTGGACTGGGCTGACGGTGATGTCGGGGGGATCCCAAAGGGAATATGCCTGCTCCAGCGTCTGGCCCAGCAGCCTCAGATACCTGCACGGGTCTGGGAGCAGGACTGTGGTGGAGTCAAGGGGAAGTAAAGGAAGGTGACTCACATCACCCGAGCTCCAAGACTTAAGCAAAAAGCTTGGGTGAGTAAGGAGCGAGGGGAGGTGCTGGTCTCAAAGCTTAGCAGTCCCACGAAGACAGGGCCGGGGCTGCTTCACCAGAGAATTCCTAGAACATGCAAACACCTGCTGAATGAGCGATGGAGGAAAACGGGAAACAAGTGACCGAAGAAATGGACAGAAGGCACCAAGGACACAACAGCATGAAGAAAGCAGACCAGACAAATCAGAGTAGAACTGGGAGTCATAGAAGGGAAGGGAAGGGAAAGAAGAAGTGTATGGTGGGGAGGAGGACCTCAAGCCTCAGCTCCTGTAGGGGTCTGGGAGGGCAACCATTTAAGACACCAAAAGGCAACTATCCAGGTCTGTCCTGCCAGGTGGACACTCACTTTAAGGAGATGATAGCCCTCACAAGGGAATACAATATTTGCATAAAAGAATTTTTATAAGCAGGACAAGGTGGTATGTGCCTTAACTGCAGCTCTTCGGAGGCTGAGACAGGAGGATCACTAAGAGTTCCAGGCCAGCCTGAACTACACAGTGAGACTTTATCAACAAAAACAACAACAAAATTTGTATACAGAATCAACAACCATTTTCATCACATATGATGTCTGGTCTTCCTTAGGGAGGAAGAGAGCTAGAATCCACATCACTACCTTCATCTAAGACTAGTAACATTTCTAAGATTTGGGAAAAACTTGATAGTGTAAATTAGCCTGAAATTACTACGTTGGTATTAAAAAATGATGAAAGTACACTTAAAAAATACACAATTATTAGCTACATGGGTGAACACAAAGAAAAAGAAAGTCTGTCTGAAGAGGCTTTGTGAATGAAACTGAATGGAGTTATGTGGATGGTCTTACTAATAAAGTAAGTTTTTAAAAGAGACCATGTACATAAAGCATAAAATGATCTATGTAGGGCCAGAGAGTTAGCTCCATGGTACTGTGCCTGCCTCACAAACATAAGGTCCTGAGTTCAATCTCTGGTACAAAATAAATAAAATAAAATGATGTACATAAATACCAGGTATGGGCCAAACCTGTTATTTTGAATATGTCTTTGGTTATCCAAAAACTGAGTCCAAACCAGAGGGTAACACTTTCCAAGCCCTACTATTTATTCTGACAGACGTACTTGGTTCCTGCTGGACTCCAACAGGCTCTGCTGGATGGCAAACTGCATTATCTCATAATCTTCATCTTGCAAATGCACATTTCTTCCATTGTCTTGAACATGATAAGACTCAGGAATTTCAAACACAGATTGATCAACCTCAAAGTTTGTGACCTGAGAAGCTGAAAACACAAGACAACAGTCTAAGATGTGACCTGAGTTAATTATTATAAATTAAATAATTAAAATAAATTTTTTTTGTAGTGCTGGAAATTGAACATGGGAGCTAATGCAGTGATAGAGAACATTTCAGAGCTTTCAATGATACAAACAGCCCACTGCAGCATGCGTGCCATAGGTCTGCCGCACCACCATTGGTCTACTGCATGACATGCAAATGCTGCAACACTGAGCCACATCCCAGGCTACCTCTTCACCCACTCTCACAGAGGTGCCCACGCTGGCCACAAACCAGACAGGTATGGTGGCATGTACCCGTATTCCAACTGCTTGGGAAGTTTGCAGGACCTGGGTAATTTAGTGAGAATTTGTCTTAAAATAAAAATACAGTGGATCCTTGAGTTACAATTGGCTTCACATACAAACAATATGGGTTATGACTGGAATTTTAGTTTTAACTTATGACCAAAGTCTTGAGTTATGAGCTAAATGCTGGCCACTTGTGTGACTGTAAACATAGACTTGCAATGCCAGAAAGGCATATTTAAGTGCACATAAGCATCAGTCTGAGTCCAGATGTGCGTGTTTGTGGATATAATTTCCATCAGTGCTTTCTTTATATAATCGCTATGATTACTGCTATCAAAATGACCCCCAAAAATCTAAAAAAGAAACAAGGAAGGAGGGGAAGGTAAAGAAAGCAATCACAATTGCAAAGAAGAAAATTGTGGAGAAATGAGAGTGATGTTCACATGACCGACATCCCTAATATGTACAGCAGGTCGAAATCCACCATCTTGACAATCTTACAGAGGAAGATTTGCATAAGGAAGCTAGTGTTGCTGAAGATGTTACTCAAATTAAGTAAGTCACAATCAACAGTGTTAGATAAAGGATATTATTCGTGCTGATAAATGAAAGGCAGATGGCAGGTTAGAGCCTATGTGAGTCTAGAATTTGTGAAAAAGCTAGGGCTATCAATGTAGATCTCATAAAGGATAATCCATCAACAAGTGATAATGGTGAAACATTTCATGCCAGTAAGGGGTGGTTTGCACAATTTTAAAGTGAGAACTGGGGTTCACAGCATAACTAGGCATGGTGAAGCAGCCAGTGCTGATTAAAGGGCTGCTGAAAATTACATACACCACTTCAACACAGTGACACAGAGAAATGGCTTTTGCTCTTGTAAAGTTTTCAACTGAGACGAAACTGGCCCTTTTTGGAAGAAGATGCCCAGGAGAATATAGATTACCCCAAAGGAGAAGAAAATCCCAGGCCACGAGCCTATGAAGGATCGGCTAATCTTACTGCTACGTGCCAATGTGAGTGACCTCAACATAAAGCCTGTCTTCCGGGGCTTTAGCTCAGTGGTTCCACAACCTGCCTCAAGCACAAGCTCCCAAGTTCAATCCCAGATAACAAAACAAAACGAAAAAAAGATAAAGCCTATCCTGGTTTATCACTCTAAGACCCCTAGAGTGTTCAGAAAACAGTCATGAAGAACGGCCTACGGGTCATGTAGAAATCTAACGCAAAAGGCTGGGTAACAAGAGTACTTTTTTTTTTTTTAGTGGCTCAGGGAGGCTTTCTGTCCTATTAAGAAATATCTAGAGGACAAAGGTTTATCACTCAAGGCTCTCCTCATCATAGACAATGCTCTTCCTTATGAGATTTCAAAGAACTGGCTGAAGAATTTCTGTGGCTCTTAGTTAAGTTCCTCTCACCTTATACAACTCCTTTACTGCAGGATATGGTCCAGCAGGTCAGAGCAAACTTTAAGAAGCTATACACCAAGGAACTGTCCCTGAAGCACTTTCAGATGGTCTCATACAAATTTAACCCTTAAAGAGTTCTGGAAGGAACATCCTTTTGTGTGGAGTTAGCTAAGAAATCCTGGTCCAGGTCTCTCTAAGGACACAGAGATATCCTTGGGAGAAAGTGTGACCTAAAATTGTACAGGAGAGAGACTTGGAAGGTTGTGTAGAGGTGCCTGAGCCTTCAAATGACCCTGTGGTCGATAGCACTTTCACTACAACAGTGTGTAGGCTTGCAGGTAGACGGTGATGTTGAGGAACGGGGGAAGGAACACGCGGAGGTGCTGTCTATAGAGGAACTTCTGCCTGAGCAACAGAGCAGAAGCTGAGGAGCTTTCTGAAAAGGAGCAGCAACAATCAGTGAAGCAAAGTTATTCTTCTAAAATAAAGGAAATCTTGAAGAAACAGACAGAGCTACAGACATTTGTAGAGAAGACCCACCCAGACACACAAAAAAGCCAACTGTTGCATTCACTTGCTTAACAACAAGGTCACGTCATTACTGCAGAGCAGTGTTACAAAAGACAGAAGCAGACAACCTTAGACCAATTTTTAGTTCTGAAAGGTGGAGGAGACCTAGTGAGCCAGAAGCAGGTCAGAGGGCTATGGACTCTTCTAAGAGAGAAAGGACACAGAGAGCCAGATTCCTGATGTTCTTATGGAAGGGGACTCTCCTTCCAAACAGTAACCACCTTCCATTTCATCCTCCCTTCCTGTAAGCCAAAGATTTCAACTTGAACAGTGAGCACAGTATGAAATTGTTTCTGATAAGCTAGGCACATTTTGTAACTTTTTGGTGAATACACTGGGAAAACTATTGGTGCTTCTGGTAAATTATTCACATTATATGACCCTTTTTTATTATGAAATGGTTAGTTAAGGGATGCTTTGGGAGGTTTGGAACGCCTTATGCACATTTCTATTATTTCTTATGGGAAAAACAGTATTGAGTTACAACCACCTTCATGAATGAATTGAGTTCAAAAGTCAAGGATCCACTGTTAAAAGGTCTGGAGATGTAGCTCAGTAATACAGTGCCCTGAGTTCAATTCCCAGTATAAAAAAAAAATCAAAGAAGTCATAAGCAAGGCTTGATATTATGTGAGAAATTTTGAGAATAATTCCAAGAGCAGAAAGTACCAGAATACAGGTTTTCTTCTTGGTGCCTTGATTTTAAAATTAACACATAATGAAAAATATAAAAGATTATGAAATGAAGATTTCTCTCCCTATGCCAAGTCTATTTCTAAACACCAAAGGTAGCCAGTGTTTACATGTATTCTTTGGGAACTGATAGACATGGATGGAAATTGCTGTGGGTATGTATGTGTACATATATACAGTCATACACCCATGTTTTTTCTCTTTTTATTATGAAATAATAAATATGTAAGAATATATGGGCTGGGGATTTAGCTCAGTGCTGCTGTCGCCTGCCTCACAAGTGCAAGGCCCCAAGTTCAATCCCCAGTACCAAAAAAAAACACATAGATATCTTCATACTTAAAATATAAGTGTAATAATAAATTCCTGTGTATCTTTCATCTAGGTAGACACACAAAACATTAGTACCACATTCCCAGAACCCCTTCTTAACCAATATCTCCTTTTTTCTCTCCCTAGGTAAACACATAATTAAGAATATTGGTTTTTAGCTGGACGTGCTGGCACACGCCTGTGATCCCAGCACTCGGGAGGCTGAAGCAGGAGGATCACTGTGAGTTCGAGACCAGCCTGGGCTACATAGTAAGTTCCAGGTCAGTCTCAACTACATAATGAGACCCTGTCCCAAAAAACAAAAAAACAAAACAAAACAAAAAAAAGAATATTGGTTTTTACTATCTAGTTCTTCTGTGGAATTTTGCCACATGTGCATCTTGTGGGAAATGTGTAGCCCATTCTGTAACTTCGCATAAGTGGACTCGTGATGTTTATTCTTCAAATCAGATTTTTCCCCATTCAACACCGTTTTTGAGATTTATCCATTTTGATATACTTGGCTATTTTCACTATTACAAAATATTTCATATTTCTGTATTATACCAACACAATTAGTACATTCTATGATCTCCGGACACGTCTAGTTTCCAGAATTTTGCTATTATGAACAATGTTACTATTCATTCCTGGGGTGTCTAGACTCTTATAGGCATAAATTTCTGTGGAGAAAAACCTAGAAACTGCCAAGTCATAAAGTACACGTCTTCAATTTGTTAATTAATGCCAAATTTTTTTCAAAAAATTATACCAATTTACTTTTCCTACTAAGAGTAAATGAATGATCCTTTGCTGTACAAGTAATGGACATATAGTATTATCTGACTTTATTATACTACCAAAGTATAAAGTTGTATATTCATCATATTGGTAAACTAAAAGGAGGAAAACCATTATCACCATCTTGTAGTTGTACAAAAGCAGCTGACAAAAATCAATACTTAAAAATGGTAAAAACTCTCAACATTATGTTTGATCCCCAACATCACAAAAGAACAAGCAAAACGAGTAAAAAAAACTCAACAAACTAGGAGAGCCGGATGCAGTGGTGCACACCTGTAATCCCAGCACTTGGGAGGCTGAGGCAGGAGGATCGCTGTGAGTTGGAGACCAGCCTGGGCTACATAGTGAGTTCACGGCCAGCCTGAACTACACAGAGAGACCCTGCCTCAAAAAAGAACAAAACAGGGCCAGAGATGTAGTTCAGTGGTGCCACGCCTGCCTGGCAAGCACAAGGTGCTGAGTTCTATCCTCGGTACTGAAGGAAAAAAAAAAAGCAAAAAGCTTTTTCAAAACAGAAAACAAAAAACTAGGAGCACAAAGGAAGAGTTTCCTCAACATAACCAAGGACATCTGCAAAGAATCTATATCTAACATCATACTTAATGATGAAACATAAGATCAGGAACAAGTCAGCTGGGGATGCACCTCAGTGACAGAGCACTTGTGCAGTACGCGTGAGGCACTGAGTTCAATCCTCAGCACCTCAAAAAAAATCAATCAAAGTCAGGAACAAAGTAATGATATCCATTCTTTCCACTCTCGTTCAACATTGTACTTGATGTCCTAGACAGATTAATAAAGCAAGAAAGATAAAAGGCTTAAACTGGCAAGAAAGAAGGAAAATTGTATTGATTTACAGGCAATATGATCATACATGTAAGGAATCTTAGGGAATCTGCAAAAAGGCGATCAGAAATATAAAAAAATCTATTATATTCCTTCCTATGTGCAGATAGCTGGAAAATAAATCCATTTAAAACAATCCAGCTGGGTGTGGTGGCGCATGCCTGTAATCCCAGCACTTGGGAGGCTGAGGCAGGAGGATCGCTGTGAGTTCAAGACCAGCCTGGGGCTGCATAGCGAGTTCCAGGTCAGTGTCAATTACACAGCGAGACCCTGTCTCCAATAAATAAATAAATAAATAAATAAACAAACAAACAAAACAATCCAAAGATATGAACCGCACGAATGGCAAAGGAGCACAAGGAAATGTGCAAGGATCTAGAAATGGTCGGTCGTGACTGCGATGGTGTCTTGGCAGATGCATGTTTGTGCAAATGCATCTCGCTATCACACTCACAATGAGAGCATTCGACTGCATGTACATCACACTCACTAAAGCTGAGTTTTGAGGACATGCTTCCTAATACAAGTGACTCCACAGATTCTATAAGCTTTCTCCTCATTTAATCTAAATCTAAAATTTTCTTATCCAACACAAAAACCTACTTCACAAGATACCCCAATTTCAAACAGGAAAATGAGGGTAATGACTGAACACATGACTTGTCACTCTTGAGTCACAGAACAGCTTTTCTGTTTTTGTACCTGAATCAGCCTGGGTCCCTTCCACGTTGTGAGAGACAGTTTCTTCAGCAGTACTGCAGCCATTAACATTTCCAAAGGTAATCCGTGCATTTAAGACGTGAAACAAGGGAATTTCTAACAAAATAAAAGCTTTTATAAATAAGCTTTACTAAGAACAACGCTAACAGTCATCATTTACTGAATGCTAAGCTGGTGCTATGCCAAACACTTTTTATCAGTATGATTTAATTTCTCTAATGTCCGTCCTCAGTGTCCAGAAGAGAACACTGAGACACGGACTCAGAGTGAAACCATTTCTTCTAGATCACAGTGATTAAGTAATTCAGCCAGTATTCAAGTGTCATAAACACACCCCTATTCAAAATTAAAATTTCTCATGAGTAATATTATATAAAGCATTATGCATACTAGCTCAGGCCCTAAAATAAATTTATATATCAAAAGATGTTGAAGTCAACTGGTTTCCTTAAATGATTGTCCAAGTGAAGTTTTACTTAGGGTAAGGTAAGGTTTGACATTAAAACAACGTTATACCTTCATGCCTTTTTACTTCTGTCAGTGCCATCTATCAACAAAACTGATGGCTGAAGATTGATATGCAAAATGAACCAAGATCATGATACCCCTTTAAATCAAATGAAATCAGAGGAGCTGGGGATTTAGCTCAATGGTTCTGCTGCTGGCCTTACAAGCACAAGGACCCGGGTTGGATGCCCAGTACCAAAAACAAAAACAAAAACAGCAAACAAACAACAAAACAAACATCCATGATTTTTGCCAGGTGTGGTGGCGCATGCCTGTAATCCCAGCACTCGGGAGGCTGAGGCAGGAGGGTCGCTGTGAGTTGAGACCAGCCTGGGCTACATAGTGAGTTCCAGGTCAGTCTCAACTACATAGTGAGACCCTGTCTCAAAAACCCAAAAAACAAATCAGAGGATAATTCTAATCTCTTCCATTGTGTTTATTGTGTGATACCTTGGGTCTAATGAACTGCAATGCCATAAAGCACATTTTCTTGCCCTTAACAATGGACATAACTAGTACTGCTGCTGAGGTTTATTTAATGGTACCTATTTTGACAGGAAATCCAGGTGGGAATTCCAGTTTGATGAAATCTCTCAGTCTTGCAAAGTGCGCACTAGTTCGAGCCATGAGGTCAATGATGGGAATGACCTGCTCCACAAGGGAGAGGGGAAACTCTTCACACATCCACAGCGTTGCTTTAAATCTGCAGGATGAGACCAAGAAAGCGGGGCATCTGTACTCGATGGGGACAGTAGATTACCGCTGTGCATAACACCAGCCTCCTTACTTCATGCTATTCCATTACTGTATCACGAGGTTCAAACTACTGAGGGACTGACACGAGGAATCCACATCACCCTGAAGGCTGGCAGCCGGGTAACCTGGACCACAACTTATCCCTGCCACTGCCTCAACAGACAGGAAGCACAGCAAAACCGACGAGCAGCTGATAGAAATCATTTCATTTGATTGGTCAAGACTTCTCGGTGGTTAAAAAAACAAAAATAAGAAAGAATTGTTACATCTCTTCTACATACCATTTGAAAAGGGCTAATCGGAAGGGCAATCTACAGGGCCGGGGATTTAGCTCAGTGGTTCCACCACCTGCTCGCAAGCACAAGGTCCAAGGTCCAAGGTCCGGAGTTTGATCCCCGGGACCAAAAAATTAAAAACTTGTAAAAAAAGAAGGGCAGTCTATGGCAGCTCTCACCAGATAAAGCAATTTGCAAATTCTGTTTAAAGAAGGGGGCAAAAGAGTGACTGAACCTGACACCCTGAAGTCATCCGTGAATTGGAGACGGCAGCCAACTAGCTCTTACTTTTGGGTTCTAATTGACAGCTCCTTCGGCCTCCCGATGTCCCTGTCTTTCAGGTCAAAGTCTTCATCGAAGTACTCATCAGGTGTGATGGCTGTGGGGTTGTTTGCGGTGGCAAACTCCGTGGTGAGGTCCTGCCGAGCCAGAACTCAGGAGAGTCAGAGGCGGCAAACGATGCTCGCAAGCGGAGGCCTAGGGCACTGCTCCCTGAGGTAGACGTGTTAGCCAGCTACAGACCAGGAGATTCTAATCACTAACGCTTTGACATTAAGTTACTGCGCGGAGCAAGCAAGTCTAAAACATTGTTATAAAACCAAATGGCAAGTCTAATGCATTCCCCATTTTAAAGTAATTCTCTATTTTCCATTGCATTTTTACTCTCCTGATGATAGAAAAAAAGAGAAATTTGAAAGTGTGAGATTTAAAAGACTTAGAGTGTAAGTTCCACCTCTTGTCACTGTCTACCTTAGACTGGAAAAGAAATTTCATTTTACTGACCTTATAGGACATCGCTTATACTGAGCACAAAGTCACAGAGGGGATTAAGTAAGAAAATGTTACAGTGCTTAGTTACAACATCAAGGCCTGAACCCTTCTCGGGTTTTATGTTTACAGAGACCCCTCATGGGTAGTGCATGAGTGATCTCTCACCTGATTTCCATAAACATATCTCCTCTCTAAAATTCTTATTTTCACACTCACTCAATGAATTCTCTTCCTAAAGATTCTTAAACTCCAACCTGAGGGTTCTCTAACTTTTTCAGATAGAGCAACCTACTCCTGATACATCTAAGTGCCACCAGGACGCAGAAGGTCTTTTTCTTCATTGAACTGCACTAGAAGTTCGTAGCTTCAACTTACCCCTTGAGCACCAAACTGATGTTCCACCGTTCCCAGGAGAGATTCCAGTGGGTTCCTGTCCGCTACAGATGGGGGAAAAGTTTAATGTCTAATATTACATCTTACTTGTGGCTATAAAAAAGTTCTTCGTCGTATTTTTTAAATTTCTGATGCTTGGCTGAAGCCAGTCTGCATTAAGATCAGAAACTACCTGCGTTAGAAAATACATTTAGAGACAGACTGATAAAATCATTCACAAAAGCTGATTTATCCCTCATAATTATTTTTCATTAGGATCTATAAACTAGAGGAACAGCTATAAAAACTCAAGCAGAATTATGGAGTCTAGATTTAGGAGTGAACCAGGTTTGTATTCTAATCTCATGATGGCCCTTCACTACTGTGTGCTCTGGGCCTCAATTCCCTCATCTGTCCAACTGGAGCAACCTAGCAGCTGTAATGGTGCTGGTGGTTAATGACTTCTACCCACTTACCACATGCTGTGAGCATTATTCTAAAGGTTTGCATGTGGCAACTGATCTAATTCTCTCGGTTACACTAAGAAAGGTCTGGTATCACCTCCATTTCACTGCTGAGGAAACTGCGGCACAGATGGTGCCTAATTTCACAAGGCCACAGAGCTGACAGAGCCAGGATGTGGCCACCAAATATTGGCAATGTTTTGGCTGGAGCCCAAGTTCCATTCAAATCTTCCATCACAACAATTTCGACTAAACTGCTCATTCCAATGACAATGTTCTCCAGTATTCCTATCTACTTCTTTGGATGAATGAAACAACTGTTCATTAGAACATGTAAACAAGCCCTCATGAATGGTTTTAATTACAGCTGAAGCCAACTATGGGGAAACACCCTAAGAATGAGTCAGTCTAAGGAAATCTTTGTAATAAGAAGTTAGGGTTAGGATTATTATGTTCCAGTCACATTAACTCAAACTTCACAAAGCAAACAAGGACTCTCTCTAAGCTAAAAATACAAAAGAAAGAAAGAAAAGAAAAGAAAAAATAGAGTGGGAGGTAGTTGTAATTACCTTTGTATCTCTTTTTTTCCTCCTCGGTAAGATGTTCTGTGCGTATTTTGGTTATCACACTCACATTGTTTACTGTGTAAACCTTGAGAGATGTGTGCAAAAGAAAACAGTGACACAGGGAATCAAAACTCAAAAAATAAGCATAGCACGAGCAAGAATGCTGAAGCAAAAGAAAAAAAAATCCAGCAAAATAAAAATGAGAAATGGTTAACAATCATTAGGATCCTTCAGAGAAAATATACAAACTATCAACTGAGAAATGTATCAGCAGTTACTTTCCATATTTGAGTTAAGACGGAGGAGTTAACAGTGACAGACTGCATCTTCCTCCTTGCCCTTTTTGTTGCTAAATGGTCTCAAACAAATGTCCTGCAAGTAAGTTTCCCACCTGGGCTCTTCTTGCACTAGAAGACCCAACCCTGTCTCCAATACTCGCTCTTATCTGTGGTAATCTTCTAATCACACTGACTCAGACAGCCACCTGCTGGACCGAAAGAGAAGGAATAAACACAGGTTCTCTAGACCTGTAAGGTTCAGAGGAAATCAGCAAGTCACTACTGAAAAGACATTCTGTCTACTGACAGAAAAGCTGCTGTAACTGCCAGAAGAGATCATCTGTTATCAGAATACAGTGATCTGCAAGTCAAATACAACAGTTAACAGAGAACTGTTTATTCTATACGTGGGTTCCTAATGTTGAAAGCTGCCGAAAACATACTCAGCACTAGAACAACTATTTCTAAAGGCATCTGCTGAGCATGATGTAAGCTTTGCGCACTCTGAGGCCATCCAAGGACCCTGCAGCACCTGGCCCCATCCCTGCAAGCTATCAATCCCTGCTGTACTGCGAGAGTCAGGAAAGGCCAGCAAACGGCCTGCCAGCTGACAAAATGCCCGGTTACTGGACAGACAGTTGTCTCCACTGTGACAGCAATGGTTTAAATGCACTGATGTCATGCAAATACACTGTAAGCCTACTGGCTGCAATTCGGCTGATTTGTTAATAATCCTTAAGAGATTAAAAAAAAGTCATAGACTCACAAAAGCTGCTATACACATTTTTAAAAGCCACTTAGGTTACAAGAAAAAAATGACAAGCATGCTAAATCTAATCCTTTCTTTTTTCTTTCTTTTGAAAGAGTTAAAGGAATAACTAGCTTGTCCTTTGCTGTACTCATTTCTTTCTGTAACACTGTTTCTCCATGGCGTGGCTAGAGACCTCCTCAGGACGTGCTATCCTATTTTCTGAAAGTCAAATAATAAAACATCCAAGTGAGACACACATTAGACAATACTTATTCCCCAGAGGGCCTACATGGCACAGATGCATGAAAAAAAAAAATCTAAACAGACTCCTCATTTGCATAGAAGCTAAATAGCTATATTAAATCTTATTTTAAGAGTTTCCTTTTACCTTTGCTTCGTAACCATTAACAACTTCTGCTTTATCTGTCCTCCAGCCCCAGAATCCGGATTTAGTTCTGATAAAAAGTGAACACCACAAATTTCTACATGTACAATATGCCATTCAGATTTATTCCTGCAGCCTTTACAACTTTTTCCCCAGCTTAAATTAGTGAAGGACACTTGGAAATCATGGTCCTATTGTCCACAAAAGGATGCTGCCAATGACAGATGGCTTAAACACCCCCCACCCTCCCCCCACAGTTATTAATCAATTTGCCTCGTTCCAGGCGTAGAAAGCCTCCATTCTTGGCTTCTTTACAAAAACTGCCATCAAGGGGGACAAAGGTGGTGACATTTATTGGACAGCTGTGCTAGAGGAGTGAAGATGACCAGCATCCAAGAGCTTGCCACCAGGAGATATCTGGGAGGCATCACCAGAGCAATCTGGGTTATCCTAACTGTGGGCACGAATATTAGAGGATCCATCCCTATAAGCAGCCACATCTCTACCCAGGAATTCTCAGAACAATGACGCAGAGTATCTTCCTCCTCAGGACAAAGGTGGTAGGATAGGAACTCATTGGTGTGTTGAGCTGCTAGACTAGGATATTTGGGTTTTTTGTTGTTGTTGTTGTTGTTGTTTTTGAGACAGGGTCTCACTATGTATTTGAGACTGACCTGGAACTCACTATGTAGCCCAGGCTGGTCTCGAACTCACAGCGAACCTCCTGCCTTAGCCTCCCGAGTGCTGGGATTACAGGCGTGCGCCACCACATCCGGCTAGGATAGGATATTAAAGCCTGCAAAATGGCCTGTGATTCATACATTTTATCAAGTTTAGTGCAATAGAGGGAAAGGCTATTAAAATAGTATTTTCAACCCAGCTGCTGATTCCAATCGATGGAACTGCTTTTAAAGTAACCCAGCAGTGCAGTGGTGGCCACAATACTGGTTATGTGTCCACACACCCAGTTAATTCAGCTCTACATATTCCTAGAAAAAAATGCTTTCAGTACTCAAGAACAGCCAAGAGGTTCTGATTTGTTTCACAGAGCTTTCCCTGGGAAATGCTACCACCCTGAGGGAGCCCGGCCCAGCCCTGCCCAGCCCTGCCCTTTGTCTAGGACATCACATCCTAGCTCTACTTAGCCCCTCGTAGGACAAAAACCTGCCTTGTGTTCCGACCCCGGAGTGAAGGGAGACGTCATGCAGAGGCTCCGGGAATAGTGGCGGGTTAGTGAAGTCACAAAAACACTTATTTACATTTTGTGTTTCTATAATGCTTTGATTTCCTTCTAACAGAATCTGCTTAATGAAATCAGTCCAGATGGGGAAAATGAGCTTTATGTGTACATTTTAACCTGTCAGAGAAAGGAGGGACCAAAGCTTTAATTTTCCTTTAGTTACCTACAATTCGTACAATATGACCCATGCAGGGAAGATAAAAATCTTAAAGGGATTGCACCAAATGCTAACTCACACTGTAGAAGTGAAATAGTTAAGTCACAGGGCTGGAGGCTACGAACCATAACTTACTGATCAATAAGCAACAGACCCTCTAACCATGAGATATTCCTTCTATTGAACTAATCCAATCCTCAGCTCTTTGTCTCTGCACTAAGTCACTTTTGTTTTCTGACATTCAGTCCCGAGGGACCACAGGACGATAAAATCTGCTCCACTTTGCCCTTCCTGCGTGCTGAGAAAATGAAGTTTTCCTGTCCCCCGAGGGCCCGCCAAGCTCGTCAGTCACCTGCATCTGCCTTCTCGGGACGCTGGCCTCTACTGCCCTTTGCATTTCTACTTCGGTATCAATTCAGTTAGTAAACTCCATGTCTACACCTTGTTTTAGAAACCAGGATTTTAATGATTCCTCGGCCTTGGCTGACTGCATGTGCTGCCACACCCAGCTCCCCCTGCCTGTCCCCCAAGACCACCTGGCAGGCACTATCGCTGGGCAACCGCTGCACTACCTGGAGAGAGGCTCTAACGGTGGCAGGGAATGTTTGATTTCAGGTGAGTGCAGCACAAAGTGTACACTGATAACCAAAAGGTCACAAGAGGAGGGGAGGAATTTACAAGTATCAAGTTCTAAGAAACAAACTAAAAGAAAGAAACGGACAAAAGTGACTATCATAGAACACAAGAGAAAGCCACACTTTCAACATTCAGTCAAAGAAATGCTCACACCGCTGGTTAGAAGTAGCTGCACACATATTTTGTACAAGCAAGCCTCACATTCAAGAGTTGTTCAAATCCTTGCTAAATGAAAGCCAAGCTCACTGATCACACATTTAATTCTGAGCATCATCCAAAAAAAAAGCTGCTTTTCCAGGAATTCACACTTGGCAGCCTATTATCAATTACAAAAGGACAGTTAACTCAAACTGTTTGAGAACCCTGTGACCATGCAAACACACAATATGCCTTCATGCTCAGCACAAGCAAAATGTGCTATGACTCTCCATCGGCACTCAGTGGGGTAAAGCCAGTAAGTGGCATACTCCCCGAATAAGTTACACTTAATGACAAACAATGACTAGCTAATGAACTACACAGGGAGCAGTGTCTCTTCTCATAACATCTTCGGAGCACAGACTTCAGAGTTCTCATCTGAGTCAGTCTCATTTTTTTCTAAGGAACCAGAGAACCAGAGCAGTCAAGCACTTGCCCAAAGCCACAGTTAACACAGTAGCCGTGCTGATGGTGCTCGGTCTTCCCAACTCTCAGGCAAGGAGGACAGGCAGCCTCCACTACCTCCTGGTGTTACAAAGAGTGCTCTAAGCTGAAGGTGTCCACTCTGTCTGCAGAGGCTCATGCTGAGGCCTGAAGATACCTTTTCAAGACTCTTCCAGGTAAAGGCACCTAAACCTCATTGTCCTTGGAGGACAACTTCTGTCGACTAGCAAAAGACTGGTGGGAGGAGGCTGGAGAGAGGATTTGCTGCATCAGGGGACACTGCTGCTCCTACCTAAGTAGAAGCAGCCTCTGGACACCACACAGGCTGTGGGTTTTGGTTTTTCCTTCTGCTACTAACAGACACTTAACCTCCACTTAGAAGAAAGGGGCAATTACGTTATATGTTTGACCAAACACAAATGTCATTTTTTTTTTTTTTTTTTTTTTTTTTTTTTTT